GACGGCGTCTTCGCGCCGGTGATGAAGATTTCGGAAAGAGTTCGACAAACGCGCGCGGCCGACGCGCGAGAGTGGCCCTCATGGTTTCATTTGACCTGGATCGTGCCCCCCCATCACGCACGCAAGGGCGTGCGAATGATGCCGGCATGCGTCGCCAGAGGCCCGATTGGCAGAATCCCATGAGTATGTTGAAAGACGTCTGGTCTTCAAAAAATGGCAAGGGCGCGCGCAAACTTTTTTATTGAAGCTTGATGTTGCGATGTTTGTTGGACATTCGGTTTTGACATCGTTACGAAACCACGGTATTTGAAGGATTTCGGCATGCGCGCGCGACGACGCGCGCGTGTGCACTTCGTGCCTTTTTATTTCCAAGAGGTTATCGCGACGGCTCACGCGCAAAGGCGTTCGAACGATTTCGACATGCGCGCTCGCGAAGCCCGTTCGGTAGTATCTTCTGATTTTTTTCAGAAAAACCTATGGTTTTTTCCGTAGAGTTCGTAAGAGCGCGCGCACGTGTTTTTTGTTGAAACCATGTTTTTTACGTGTGTTTTTGGACACTCGATTTTGATTTCCGTCCGAAACCGAAGGTTCTCTTGAAAGATTCTGGCATGCGCGCGCGACGACGCGCGCGTGTGCGGTTCGTTACTTTTATGGTCAAAAAAGGATTTTTGAAAACTGATGATCCTGTTAAGCGAGTGTGTGCGCATAGTTTTTTCCAGAGGATGGCGGTGGGGTCGGAATCGGCTGGGCCGGGATAGTATTTCGGATGGGCGGTGGGGCAGAATCATATGTAAATTGCAATGCGAATTGGTGGACCGATCGAGCTGGGGGGGGATCCTGCTCATTTTTTTGGCAGGATAATGTAGGCGGTGCAATTCATTTGAGGCGACGACGTTCGGCGACAAGGCGGCGACGGGGCGGCGACGGCGACGACATAGCCGCCGGACCGACCTGCAGTTTTAGACGACGGGCGGCGACGAGGCGGCGACGGGGCGGTGACGGCGATGACATAACCGCCAGCCCGTCCCCACGGCTCAAACGACGGACGGCGACGAGGCGGCAACGTGGCGGCGATGGCGATTACATAGCGCGGACGACGCGTTAATATTGGGAAGGGCCGAGGAGAACGCTATACATGTTACGGCATGTAGCTGGTCCCAGACAAGTCCCATTTACCTTAAGTCACATGTGAACACAATATTCTTAACAAGCAAGGCAAGACCATACAGGCTTGGCATGACGTGATCTACTGTGAGAGCCTCGCGGTGCCGCCGACCCTGAAGGCGGGACCTCCCCCAGGACCCGTGCTGGTGCGCCCCCCCTGGATCCGCCAGGACCCCGGGGGGCGTGGCATTCAGACCAGGACCATCCCCCCACCACAGGCGGGACCTCCCCCGTGACCCCGCTGGTGCCACCCCCTTGAGGGGATGGTCCCCTTCGTTCCCTGTCCACAATGGGGACCCCGCTGACCCGCGGTGGAGAGGGGGGGCGGTAATCTGATTTGAAACCTCCTCCTACCCCCCCGAACCCCGCTGGGCGGGGTTCGGGGGGGTAGAGGGGAGTTCGTCGTCGTCATCGTCCGCCCGACGAAGACGACGACGAAGACGACGACAGCGTCTCACACACGCCGAAGAGTCGGCGGATTTAGGAGTTTGTGATTCCTGGAGAAGGGGGCGCGGTGAAAGAGCTTTCTCGTCGTCTTGGCGCAGCGACATTCAATTCTTAGTCGGCCCCGAAAAATCGAGGAGTACAAAGCTGCGGTTCCTAGCAAGTTGACATATGGCCGACCTTGTTAGCTGTTGTCGCCGAAAGGGAGCCCCCAGAGAGAGAGGCCATTTTCTGCCCTGGATTGTTCTGGCCAGCTTCCGACAAATACCTGCAGAAAGTGGGCAGGCCTCGTGCGGATTGAACAGCTCATGTGCTTTGTGTCGCTTGCACAGTGGCAGGTGGCTGAGCCAAGTTGACGCACTCCTGAGTAGCGAAGCTTCCTGGCATCATTTTGTCCGCACAGCAAAGTTGTCAACATAGCGCAGCGGAGCTCGATTGTATTGTACCCGAAATGCAGATTTCCCCATCTAGTGTCCTGCGCACCTCCGGGTGTATGGCTTCTTGCTTGCTTGTTTGGGCGGCCCCCGGTGGGCGCTGGCCTTCCTCAGGATTCTTCGGCGTTCAGTGGGAAGGACGAACCGGGCAGTGGAAGACATATTAGTTGCTAGTCAGATTTCTGGGAAATCCTATGGCATGGAGCTGCACCCAGACAAGTTCCAACTGCTTCAATTTCAGATGCGCAAGCCGTATTCAGGACTCGAATGGACACATCATACGGGCCCAAGAAGACATGATTTATTTGGGTGCTTTGATTTCTGGAACAGGCGCCGCGGGCAAGGAGCTCAGTCGCCGCCTGGGCGCGGCGCGCTCCGACTTTGTCAAGCTGTCCAAGATATGGCGACATTCAGGCTTGAGCAGGCGCAGAAACATTGAGGTCTACAGCGCCGTCGTTCTTAGCAATCTCACGTATGGTTCATCGACTTTGTGGCTGAATGCTGCGGAGAGAAGGCGGCTGGGTGGCTTCCATTGCTGGTGTCGTCGCGTAGTATGGGGAATCGAGCCAGCATACATCTCCAGGGTGAGCAACGTGATAGTCTTAGACAATACGGGACACCACCCTCTGACGGACACAGAGGCACGACAGCAGCTTCTCTTGCTTGGCAAACTCGCCAGGGCACCAGAAGGGAGTCTCCTGAGGAACGCCACCTTCTGTCCTGGAAGCTTCAGGCCGGCAGCAGACCGATACGTGAGAAAGGTAGGCTGGCCACGCGCAGACTGGACAACCCAGGTGCTACGAGTCGCTTGCGCGGCGGCAGGCGGCATGTCAAAGTTAAACCCGCTCTTGGCTAATGCAGTTACCTGGCGGCAATTCGCACTCTCAGCAAAGCTGACCGTGTAGCGCCGCGCGGTCCGAAATCTAGTTTCTAGCCAGCAGCATTTTCCAGTCCAGTGTCCTACGCACCTCCGGGTGCATGACTTCTTGCTTGCGTGCTCGACCTCAGCGGGGGCCACGTCGCGACACATATCAGAATGGTGCTCTTGCGTTGGCGCTTTCCATGCTCCTCTCCCCTCTGCGGCAGCATCCAGACATACTCCTACTGTGTGTGCGTCCGCGCTTGTTGTTGCGGGGCGCTGCTCGGCCGTGCACGCGCCCAAACGTCCCTCGACCCCACCTCCCTGTGCCCTGCTCGGCCCTGTGCTGCCCCGTACCGCGAGTACCATCCGTGGGTCAAGGGCCGATCTGGCACCCAGTTCGGCGGAGAGGACAGGACCCTCCGCGCGAGCGGACCTGTCTCGTCCCATTCCCCGCCTGCTTCTCAGGAGGAGCAGAAGGAGCAGGAGGCGGAGGAGGAGGATGATGATGATGAGTTGGAGGAGGAGGAGGAGGAGGAGGAGGAGGAGGAGGAGGAGGAGACAGAGGAGGCGGAGGAGGCGGAAAAGGCGGAGGCGGAGCAGGAGGAGGCGGAGCAGGAGGAGGCGGAGTAGGAGGAGGAGGAGGAGGAAACATAATGATAGTAAGAAGACTACGAAGGATAATACTAATAATAAGAAGAAAACGAAACAATAATAATAATAATCATATTACTAATAAAACTAATATGAATACGAAGGACAATATTGTTGCTGATACGAACAAGAATAACAATACTACAAATAATAATGCTAATACTACGAATAAGACGGGGAATACTAATACCAATACTACGAATAACAATTCTGATGATACTAATACTAATACTATTAAGGCGATTAATAAGACGAGTAATACGAATATCAAGAAGAGGACGATTATCAGTCATACGAATAATAGTATTACGCATCGTAAGAAGAACGTACGAATACTACGAAACTCAATAAAACCTAATCATACTAATACGGATGATAATAAAATGAGCACGACGAATACAATTAATACTACTCAGGCGAAGAAGCATACCACGGATACTACTAATACTACTACTAGTAATAATACGACTAATACTACCACTAAGAATAAAGCGAATCATATTAATAACAATACTACTACCAATACTAATACGACTAATAATAATACTAGTAATACTATTATGACTAATAATAATACTATGAATAATAATAATGTTCATAATACTACTACTAATAAGCATCAAACTACTACTACTACTACTGCTACTACTACTACTACTACAACTACTACTACTTCTAATCATACTAATCATAATACTAATACTGTTAGTACGAAGAAGGCGCATACGACTAATACTAATACCAAGGCTACTACGATTAAACCTATGAGTAATAATACGGATACTACGAATCTTAATGCTACTAAGAAGAAGAATGCGAACCATACTAAGACGAATGATACTACTACTGGTAATAATAATAAGAAGATGAGGAGGATGATGAAGCAGAGGAGGAGGATGAGGAGGAGGCACAGGAGGAAGAGAAGGCGGAGGAGGAGCAGGAGGAGGCGGAGCAGGAGGAGGCGGAGTAGGAGGAGGAGGAGGAGGAGGAGGAGGAGAGATCCATGAATGAATGAAAGGAGGAGGATGAGGAGGAGGAAGAGGAGGACGAGGAGGAGGAGGAGGAGGAGCAGGAGGAGAAGGAGGAGGAGGAGGAGGAAGAGGAGGAGGAGGAGGAGGAAGATGAGGAGGAGGAGGCAGAGGAGGCGGAGGAGGCGGAGAAGGAGGAGGAAATGGAGGATGATGATGATGAGGAGGAGGAGGTTTCCCTAGTTGCCTGGCTCCCCTCCGCAAGCCCATGCCCCTACCCTTCCGCCCGCGTTCCTCTCCCTCCTCCTCTACCCTTCCCTCCCCCTCATTCCCACCCGCCCCTGCCGCCCTCTCACTCCCCCCCGCCCCTCCCGCCCGCCCCGCCCGCCCCTCCTGGACCCTCGGCCTGCGGAGAGGCCGCCAGGCGGCGGTTGGAGAGCCCCTGCCCTGCCTCGCGCCAGGCGAGGCGATCGCGGAATGGGGAGCTGTGGACGAACGTCCGCCAGCACTTCTGGCAGCAGGCTGCGCCGCGGCCCCTGCCCACAGCCACGGCGACGGCGGCGAGGACGGCGACGGCGGCAGCGACGAGTCGAGGTCCCCAAGGCGTTTTGTGGATCTTGGGGGGCTCGAGAGGCCTTCGGAGAGGCGAGGGAGACGGCTGTGGCTCCTTGAGGTGTCGTGTGGTGGGCGATCGGTTCCGGATTTTGCCTTCGGCAGCCGTGGATTTTCTAAGTTTCTCATGTGACTCCCGGATGCTGCTCTGCGATCTTCGAATGCCTCGAGTGCTCTTGGATGCTTTCTGCGGCACCTGAAGGCATTCGATTGTCGTCGGAGTCTTTCGTATACTTTCGACGAAGCTCTGCGAGGGTGTTCAAGGGCTCCTTGGGGCTCGTGGGGACTTCTCCAGAGGTTGTCGAAGAGTTCCCAAGGTTTATGCAAGAGGAGATGAGGTGGAGGCATGAGGAGACAGAAGGGGTTGGAGGCAGCAGGGGGAGACGGAGGCATTCCGGGGAGTACATGTCTACGTAGAGGGTTCAGGGTTCAAGGGAAGGAGACGCATGATGACGAATAAGGGAGAGGAGGAGCAGGAGGAGGTGGAGGAGGAGGATGAGGAGGAAGCAGCGTTGGCGAAGGAGGAAGGACACCGCTGGCGATTGCTGCACACCTACATCCTGTTCTGATCTCTCAACATAGCTACACATACAGACACACATACGCATGTGCTAGCCTCTCGCAAGTGTTCCCAGGAGTGCGAGTTGGGGGCGCGAGGGCAGTGGCATGGTCAGGGGGCGGCCGTCTGAGAAGCCCCCACCCCCGCTTCTTCTCAGGGGCGGATCTCCTTGAGATGTGCCGTGGCGGTCAGGCCCCCATCGGCTTGGTCACTTGCCAGGGAGCACTGCTCACCGCACCTCCCTCTTGGCGGTCTGGTCCAGAGAGCTCTGTCTCTCTGGAAGGGGCGGCGGAGATCATGGCGTATTGCGCGTCGAGGTGCACAGTTTTGCGGTACATTGATCTTAACGGCAATGCGTGACATGGCAGGAGTCGGGGAAGTCTTTTCTGGACCGTCTGGTTCGCGACCGCGTCGCACGAAACGACGGCGCAGGAGTACACCGGGAGGCGGAGAAATAGAGAAAGGTCGAGGATGAGGAGGAGGAACTGGAGGATGAGGAGGATGATGATGATGAGGAGGAGGAGCAAGATGAGCAGGAGGAGGAGGAGGAGGAGGGTGAGGAGGAGGAGGAGAAAGAGGCAAAGGCAGAGGCGAAGACGGAGGCAAATGAGGAGGAGGAGGAGAAGGAGGAGAAGGAAAAGGAAGAGAGAAGAGGAGGAGGAGGAAGAGGAGGAATAGAAGGAGGATGAGAAGAAGGAGGAGGAGAAGGAGGAGGAGGAGGAAGAGGAGGAGTAGGATAACAAGAAGCAGAAGAAGGAAAAGGAGGAAGATAAACAAAAACAACAAGAAAAATAAAAAGGAGAAGAAGGATGTGAAGAAAAAGGAAAACTTGGAGGCGAACGGGGGTGGCGGGAAGGATGAGGAGCAGGTGGTGGTGGAGGGAGGAGAAAGAAGGGAGAAGGGGCGAGTAGAGGGGGGCAGCCGAGGAGAGAAGGAACGGGAGTGGAACGGAGCAGGATGAGGGAGTGGAGGAGGAGGGACAGGAAGAGGGGGGATGAAGACGATTCTGTTACATTGAGAATGGGGGGACGTCGACGATCACGACGACGAGTCGGGGAACAACAGGGTTGGGGAGAACGCGGCGGAGAATAGAGGGAGGACGGCGGGGATGTGACGGAAGGTGGATGCTGCTGCTGCTGCTGCTGCTGCTGCTGATGATGATGATGATGATGATGATGATGATGATGATGATAATGGTGATGCTGATGATGATGACGACGGTGCTGCTGATCATGATGATGATGCTTTTGATCATGCTACTGATGCTGATGATGCTGGTAATGACGATGCTGATGATGCTGATTGTGATGATGACGCTGATGCTGCTGATGATGCTGCTGATGATGCTGATGATGTTGATGATGCTGATGATGTTGCTGGGGAGGTTGATGATGATTTCTATGACGATGACAACGATGATGCTGCTGATGATGCTGCTGATGATGACGATGATGATCATGATCATGCTGATGATGCTGATGATGATGCTGTTGATGCTGCTGCTGATGATGCTGATTACGATGATGCTGATGATGGCGATGACGATGTTGGCGAGGATGCTGATGATGATGATGCGGATGCTGATGATGCTTATGATGATGATGAGGATGATGATGATGATGATGATAATAAGTGATGATGATGACGATGATCCTGATGATGATGATGATGCTGATGATGATGCTGATGATGCAGATGCTGCTGATGATGCTGATGCTGCTAATGATGCCGATGCTGATGATGGCGATATTGCTGATGATAATGATGATGCTGATGATGATGCTGCTGCTGATGATGATGCTGATGATGATGATGATGGTGATGATGATGATGATGATGATGCTGATGATGATGATGATGATGATGATGATGCTGATGATGATGATGATGATGATGATGATGATGATGATGATGATGATGATGATGATGATGATGATGATGATGATGATGATGATATGGTTCTGATGATGACGATGATGCTGATGATGCTGCTGCTGATGACGATGATGAAGAAGAGGAGAAGGAGGAGGAGGAGGAGGAGGCGGAGGCGGAAGATGAGGTGGAGGAGGATGAGGAGGAGGAGGTGGAGGAGGATGGATGCTGACGAACGGTGATGAAGAAGAGCAGAGGAGGGTGGGTGGCAGGAGAAGGACGACGGTATGAGTGAGGTGGTGAAGGGCGGAGGAGGAGAAAGAAGCGTGGAGTGGAGGAGGAGGAGGTCGCGGAGGAGGAAGCGGAGGAGGAAAAGGAGGAGGATGATGATGATGATGATGAGGAGGAGGAGGAGAAGGAAGAGGAGGATGAGGAGGAGGAGGAGAAGGAGGTGGCGGAGGAGGAAGTGGAGGAGGATACTGATATTGCTGATGATGATGCTGATGCTGGTGATGATGCCGCTGATGATGATCATGATGATGATGCTGCTGCTGATGATGATGATGAGGAGGAGGAGGATGATGATGATGCTGCTGCTGCTGATGATGATGATGATGAGAAGGAGGAGGAGGAGGATGGATGCTGAGGAACGGTGATGAAGAAGAGGAGAGGAGGGTGGGTGGGTGGAGAAGGACGGGGGGATAAGTGAGGTGGTGAAGGGCGAAGAGGAGGAGGAGAAAGAACGTGGAGTGGAGGAGGAGGAGGTGGCGGAGGAGGAAGCGGAGGAGGAGGAGGAGGATAGATGATGATGAGGAGTATGATGCTGCTGATGCTGCTGATGATTATGATGGTGATGATGCTGATTTTCATGATGATGGTGATGATGCTGCTGCTGATGATGATGATGATGCTGCTGATCATGATGATGATGATGCTTTTGATCATGCTACTGATGCTGATGATGCTGGTAATGACGATGCTGATGATGCTGATTGTGATGATGACGCTGATGCTGCTGATGATGCTGCTGATGATGCTGATGATGTTGATGATGCTGATGATGTTGCTGATGCAGACGATGCTGAACATGGGGAGGTTGATGATGATTTCTACGACGATGACAACGATGATGCTGCTGATGGTGCTGCTGATGATGACGATGATGATCATGATCATGCTGATGATGCTGATGATGATGCTGTTGATGCTGCTGCTGATGATGCTGATTCCGATGATGCTGATGATGGCGATGACGATGTTGGCGAGGATGCTGATGATGATGCGGATGCTGATGATGCTTATGATGATGATGAGGATGATGATGATGATAATAAATGATGATGATGACGATGATCCTGATGATGATGATTATGATGATGCTGTTGATGATGATGCTGATGATGCAGATGCTGCTGATGATGCTGATGCTGCTAATGATGCTGATGCTGATGATGGCGATGTTGCTGATGATGCTGATGATGCTGATGATGATGCTGCTGCTGCTGATGATGATGCTGATGATGATGATGATGATGATGATGATGATGATGCTGATGATGATGATGATGATGATGATGATGATGCTGATGATGATGATGATGATATTGGTTCTGATGATGACGATGATGCTGATGATGCTGCTGCTGATGATGATGATGAAGAAGAGGAGGAGGAGGAGGAGGAGGCGGAGGCGGAGGAGGAGGTGGAGGAGGAGGATGAGGAGGAGGAGGTGGAGGAGGATGGATGCTGACGAACGGTGATGAAGAAGAGCAGAGGAAGGTGGGTGGGAGGAGAAGGACGACGGTATCAGTGAGGTGGTGAAGGGCGGAGGAGGAGAAAGAAGCGTGGAGTGGAGGAGGAGGAGGTGGCGGAGGAGGAAGCGGAGGAGGAGGAGGAGGAGGACAGATGATGATGAGGAGGATGATGTTGATGATGATGCTGATGATTATGATGGTGATGATGCTGATTTTCATGATGATGGTGATGATGCTGATGATGCTGCTGATGATGCTGCTGCTGATGATTCTGATGATGATGATGCTGATAATGATGATGATGATGATGATGATGATGATGATGATGATGATGATGATGATGATGAGATGATGATGAGAGGAGGGAGGAGGAGGAGGAGGAGGAGGAGGGAGGAGGAGGAGGAGGAGGAGGAGGAGGAGGGAGGAGGAGGAGGAGAGGAGGAGGAGGAGGAGGAGGAGGAGGAGGAGGATGAGGGGGAGAATGGGGAGGATGGATGCTGACGAAGGGTGATGAAGAAGAGGAGAGCAGGGTGGGTGGGTGGGGGAGGACGAGGGGATCAGTGAGGTGGTGACGGGCGGAGGAGGAGGATGAGACAGAAGCGTGGAGTGGAGGAGGAGGAGGAGGAGGAGGAGGAGGAGGAGGAGGGGAAGGGATGAGGGGAATGGGACAGAAGGGCAGAGGAGGAGGATTGATGAGGTGGATGGGGGAGGACGACGAGGAAGT